TTCCAAAGTGTGGGTGCAAAATGGTTGAAGGCTCACTACCAATGGTGGGGCAGATCGGGTGAGTGATATGAAGCAACCCAGTGTTCATTGAGCAGTGGGGTCGGTAGAGTTTCAGGAGTTCGCAGAGGCCATAGCGGAATTTAAATGCAAGGGTAAGGATCTTGAATTTGATCCCCTGGGGGATGGGGAGCCAGTGGAGCAGAGTGAAAATTGTGCTGATAAGCGGAGGTGGATAACTCAATGTGATGTCAATTATTGAACAGTAAAAAAAGTGCTATTTCACAGTGTTAGAATTATTTATTCTAATTTGAGCCAACTGTGTTATTGCTTGTGAATATATATATATATATATAGGCAGAGAAGATATCTTTTTATATATACTTCCAAATTAAACACAGAAACATATAAATAGAGTGATGTCAACAGCTATCAGCTGCCTTTAAAGTTGTTGTGTCGAACAGATTCTAATATGAAACATAAATATTTAAAAGAAATCACCGGCCGAGATCACAGAATTTCAAACAAAAGTGATTCCAACCCATTTGATGTCATCCTACCAGAATAACAACTCTACTGTTCCTATTACACATAAATGTTTTAGATTTACTGTACACACGCTATTTATGGTCCTGTGTAATATCCAAACCAGAGCGTCCATGTTAGAACATGTGCAACAGATGGAAGCATTTTTTCCAGGAATTCAACATTGTTTGATTGAATAGACATGTAATAGGCCTGCACAAGGATACCAGCAGTTTCACTGTTCAGGCTAATAATGTAATCACAGGCATACAAATAGCAGATGGTTATGTTTCTGATCCTAAAAGTACAAATACAACAACAACTTGCAATTATATAGTGCTCTTCACGCAGGGTAGCGTCCCAGAGCACTTCACAGTGGCAGAGTCTGACAATCAACCATGGGGAGAGGGAGGGGGGAGAGAGAGAGAGAGGTGGGAGCTGACCGTCAACATGATCAAAAAGGAAGGTCTATAAGGGGGATTTTTGTTGGCTCCTCATCACTGAACAGATTGACTTCAAGATCCTCACATTTGTGTTCAAATCCCTTCACTCTCTGGAACTTCTCTACCTCTCCAACCTCCTCACTCCCAAACCATCACCCGGCGCCTCCGACGACTGGCACCGCCTCCTGTTCATCCCTCGCATCCTCCTCACCACCATCGGAGGTCTTGCTTTCAGCCACTATGCCCTGAAACTTTGGAACACTCTCCCTCACTGCCTCCGCCTTGTCCCCCCTCTCCCCCTTTTCAAGTCTCACCTGAAAACTTTCCTCTTCGACTGTGCTTACGTCCACCTCCTCTCTGCCCATTTTTAAGTGCTCTGAGACACTACCTTGCGTGGAGGACGCTATATAAGAGCAAGTTGTTGGATTTGAAGGTGGGGAGGCAGAGGGATTGATTTCCAAAGTTTCAGGGCGTAGTGGCTGAAGGTGCAGCCACTAATGGTGGAACGGAGAGCACGAAGGACAAATAGGAGGCCGGAGCCAGCCTAGCTTAAGCAGTGGGCGCTGGAATGGGGTGTAAGCAGATCGGATAGGTAGGGAGGTTTGAGGGAATGAAGTGATTTGAAAACAAGTGAGACCATCTTGACAGACACCAGCGAGTGCCACAGTGAACCCGATGGAGGATTCCCAGGCGGGAGCAGAGGGAGGCTGTGGGACAGTCAAGTGGGGATAAGAGGCAAGGAGGATGGATAGAGAGACAGAGCGGGAGAGTTGCAAGGTAGGGAGCATTTTGGGGGGAAAGCAACTCGGGGCGGCAGCCAAGATGCGCATGCTGAGACTTGAGGCAGGTGGTTAGTGGGGCATAGTCAGGCCCAGGCATGGAGACTGTGGGGGCTAGAGGCAGCGCAGAGCGGGGAGAGGGGTAGGACACTCATGTTATCCACCAGGTTGCCAGGTGTTATCCACCAGGATAATTCAACCTCAAGCTACTCTTTTATGTCAATCCTTACCTCTGTCACAAAACCGTTGTTTTAATTACTCCAAACTACCTAAAGCTTTGGCTGATACCTTGGTGATTGTTGGCAGTCAAAACGTCCTTCCTGGTATCCTCGCAGCCAACATCTGACAGAGGATGGCTACTTTCTGGGTCACTTCCCTGGAACAATGCCTCCAAGAATAAAGGCGTTAATGGATATTCTGCATTGGCTGCAATATGTCAGCTCGACCTGCATTGCCAGTCATATCTTGGAAGGAACTCTCTGTGGCATGGAACCCATAAACAGGGTTCCCTGAATTGTTTCAGAGAGGCCGTCATTGTAATTTGAAGAAGCCCATGTCTCACAACAGTTGAAAGGCTTGGTAGGATGACAAGCATGAACCAGTCATGTTGAATCTATTCGGTTATAATGGTCTTGCATACCATTGCAAATACCAGAGAATTAGAAGTTATCTTGATTTTTTTTTCAAGCAACTTCCTGATGTACATCAATCAATGCACTTTTTGCAGACGAAATAACACACATTACCTCTTATGAAAATTTGTAGGTGTGGAACTTTATTATTGGGGATTACATTGATAGGGCAGCTAAAGGAGTGCAAGAGTCACAATTCTATGCTTGCTTGTAATTTGGACAATTCACCAAATAGATCATTGTATGATCAATGCAGTTGCAAGCTAATGCTTGTAATATTCATCAGCATTTCAATAAATTTATTTAGCCTATTATCACTATTTTTAAATGTTTTGCCAGGTTATTTTATCGGTTAAGGCAGTGCCATACCTGGGAATTTATATAGAGGATTCGACAGTTTTGTTTTTAATTGCATTCAAATAGGGANTTTTTTTTAGGTTTTCTGTGCACTGCGATGCCATAACTTGCTCTGCTTATCATCTTAAAAAGCAGGAACTTCAAGGCCAGTCCATCAACTTCTTTGGCTGAACTCCCTACTGCATGTACTACTTCCACAGTCGTGATAAGATGGCATAATTGGACTCTGTCTAAAACAGTCAGTTTAAGTCTACAACAAGAGACAGGCACTGTCTTGACAATTGACAATTAATTAGTTCCTCATAGCAATTAAACTTTTGCATGCGTCTCACACTCCTACAAAATCTGAAAAATGAACTGCCAGGAAGCAAGGTGGAAGGACTCCAGGATGAAGTTCCAGAGAAAAGGGGCTGAAGGTTGGGGTGGAGTGAGCGGGGAAGTGAAAGGGGGCCAATGTTTTTGTGAGCAGAAGGAATGTCCAGGGAAGAAGGGTTGGAGAAGGTCACAGAGGTGGACCATGGGAGCATTTGAAAGGAAGGACGAGGATCTTGAATTCAATCTGCTGGGGGTTGTGGAGTCTAGCAAGGATAGGGTGATAGGTTCACAGAACGTGGTGCAGGAGAGGACTGCAAAATTCTGGATGGTCTGCAGCTTGTTTGGGGAGAAGCTGAAGATTTCAGTGTGCTCCACCTCCATTAGTCAATGCTAGAGGTGATAGATGGGATGGATGAGGATCTCAACAGCCTGTAGGGAAGAGGTAATGGCAGAGGCGGGCAACATTGCAGAGGTTATGCAAGGCAGAGCATGTAACATAACTCAAGATATATGTGTGTCAGCAATCATCTCCAAGACCCAAAAATAAATACAGTAGATGTCTCCAGAGATTTCTGACTTTCACGAATTAAAGTAAGACAACTTGAGACAATTAAAAGGCTAAAATGGATAGAAATAAAACGGTTCCTTGTTACAAAACAATTTAAAGGCTAAGAGTTTCCAGATTGATACAGTAAACTATAGTTGTTAAGCAATGTACATTATAATAATTAGAGTCACAATCTCTCACGGTACATGAGCAAACAGCCCTTTTCTTTATTCCTGCAATTGCTGTATTGCTAGCAGCACACAACAGTAAGGTCAGAAGTGTAAACATGACGAGAATCGGAAAGAATCAGTAAGAGACACTGATAAATTGGAGGGTGGCAGTGCAATAAAAATAACAACCAGCAAATTAAAGAGAGGAAGAGAGAATGTGTGCATGACACTGGAGATAGGAACCATGTCTTGAACGCCATTTCAAAGTTTTCCTGGTCTTCAATGTCATTGAAATTCCAATCTGTACAGAAACTTCCAAAAACTGACTTTCACTAATTATATTCATTTAAGAAAATTGAAAAGTCCATGTGGATAGAAATAATGGTTTCTTATTAAATAATCATAAATTAAAATAATTTAAAAGCTATGTCGTATCCAGTTAATTTGTAGTACTATCATTTTTATAATAGAAATAATAATTTGGTCACTCAAACCAGGAATGAGGGACTTCAGCTAGGAATAATCTCCTTGAACCTACCAGAGAAGGTTAAGAGGAGACTTAATAGAAGTTTTCAAAATTATGAGGGGATTCGATAGGGTGAACAGGGAGAAACTATTTCCACTGGCGGGTGGCTCGGTAACCTGAGGACATTGAGTTAAAATAGTTGTTAAAAGAAACAGAGGGAAGGGGGGAGAAATTTTTTCACACAGCGAGTTGTTCGGATCTGGAATGCATAACCTGAAAGGGTGAATGAAGCCATTTCGATAACAACTTTTAACAGAAATAGATAATTATTTGGGGAGGACAAGTTTGCAGGGCTATGGGGAGAGAGCGGGGGAATGGAATTGATATGAATAGCTCTTTGAAGAACCGGCACAGACACGATGGGCTGAATGGCCTCCTTCTGTGCCGTGTAATTCTTTGATTCTATGAAACCATGACTGTTTGTGGGATACTGCTGTGCGCAATTGGCTGCCGCGTTTGCCCACAAATATACAGTCAATTCACTTTAGTGTGTTCTGTGAAGCGCTTTGGGACGTCCTCCCGACATGAAAAGCGCTATATCAAATGCAAGGATTATTATTATTATTAAAACCTACAGTCAATCCACTTTAAATTATATTCTGTGAAGCACTTTGAGACTTCATAACAACATGATAAAGCTCTATATCAAATGCAAGGATTATTATTATTTTTAGCAATGTACTTTGGAGTAATTATCTGTAATTCTCACCTGTGTTCCATCCCCATTCAGCAGGGGAGGTAGAAGAGACATGTCAACTTTGAGAAGTGGAGTTTTATCCAGTGGTGGAGGATTTTCTGCCATCATCAAAAGCATGCATGCAGGCAGGCTTTCTCCTTCAACTCCTAATATAATGCAAACACATTAAACATTGGTTAATAATTTTAACACAATTAAATGGTTCAACCTTAAAACTATTAAAATTTAAACAATACCAATGGTTCCCACTAACATTTAATTTAGTGGAGTCCTGTAGCTCAATGGTTAAGAGCACTCGCCTCGCAAGCGAGAGACCTGGGTTCAGTTCCTGGCAGGGTGAAACCTTGGGTAAGGTTTCCTTTCTCCACACGTCTGATAATAACCCCTCAAGAAAAAAAAACAATAATAAATTGGTCACTTCAACTCACGACTGTTTGTGGGACACTGCTGTGTGCAATTGGCTGCTGCGTTTCGCCCACAAATACACAGTCAATTCACTTTACAGTATATTCTGTGAAGCGCTTTGAGACATCTAGAAGACGTGAAAAGCGCTATATCAAATGCAAGGATTATTATTATTATTTTATTTAACTTAACACAATACAATACTGCACCAGTAGAGTTCATTGTCATCTAAAATAGAAATATAGATATTTTCTGGATAAAAAGAGGGCATTCACACCATTGTGTCTGTGCCACTGCAACCTATTTATTATTTACCCACTTTCAAAGTTTCTTTCCCATAAACATTAGCCTTTTTACTATTCAGCTATTTTTTTTTACTATTCAGCTATTATTATATACTATTTAACCATTTCTCTTTTGACTGATTTTATTGATCCAGCCTCAACAGCCTAACAGGTAATGAACTTGGTGGTAACTTTTCATATGATTATTTCTAGTATAACTGCAGTACATTAATAATCTGAATGTCTTGACCACTGCTATTAAAAGTTTGTCAATCCAAGTTCTATTGGGTAATATTTGGATATAAAAATTAGATATTAAAAGAAAATTGTAATGTACCAGCCGTTAACCTCCATTTCAGTTTCTAAGAGTAAAATTCCACTTACTCAGCTGTGACGAATTCCGAAAGTTTTTTTTACAAAATGAAAAGGGTAAACTACTCCTTCTTTTGACTGCTACAACTATCATCAAACCAAAAAAAAAACGTGATTCACCATAGGAATCATCAGATTCTGTTTCCAGTTTTGCCCAATGCATCATTACTTTGAACAATTAACATGCAGAGTTGCTGAAGCATCACAAGATGTCAAATTATTGAAGCTGTACTAATATTATTTCCATCAGCATCAATAATATTTATTATTATTTATCTTATTATCATTAAAATACCAAACCAGTCTCACTCAGTTTGTAGCACTCTCCTTCCTCGGTTCCAAACTCTCTTTGGTCTCAAAGATTATTTTGTTTATTTTAATGTTACTACTACACTATGTTTTTTCTACTCTTGGTATTTTGAACTTTTCTTTCTTACTCCTTATAGTCTCCAAAAATACTGTTTACATACTGTTCCTCCTTCCTGCATTCAAACTGTGTTGAAATCAATTCATTGAGGTTTATTAAATGCCCATCTGTAAACTGGGTATAAATAAAGTCCACAGGGAGAATTACTGATATCCTTAATTATGCAATTAATACCCACGATAAAATGATGTATTATTTATGTAATTATCAACCAATCCTTTGATCTATCTGTTTAGGGAAGCATGTTGAGATCTGGATCGTTCTCTTTACTTCTTCTGCACGCTGTGCTGACAGTTTCAGTAATCTCTCCACTAGTAACCCCAATATCCTTTCCTGTGTCAAATAAATAGACAAATCCCATTTACAATATATTCCCACTTTGTGAGACTGAGCTGAGGCATAGCAAGGGATCCGTAACATTACTGAGAATATATTACAGTGGAAGAGCGGAAAGAAAATTGAGGATGCAAGTTGTAGACAAGAACAACAAATTGCATGAATATAGCAGCTTTCTCATAGGGAGGATGTCCTCAGGCACTGGAGAGTCGAGGGTTTGTTTTCACTCAAGCTAAGGGTTGGATTTGGGAGAGGTGGGGGGCTACGGGGGGGTTGGGATGGGAAGTTGACGGTCAAAGAAGCAGATCTTGAGACGGAACTTGAAGAAGCGAGAGAAGGGGCGAAGCGAAAGAAGGGACGAGGTGAAGAAACTCTGAGCTGGAGTTCCAGAGATTGGGGGCAGATAGGCTGAAAGCTTGACCAACAATGGTGGGACAGGCAGGGCAGGGACATGAAACAGGCCAGTGCCTGCTGAGGGGATGGAATGGATGATTTGGTAGGGTTTAAGAAAGTAGCGGAGGTAGATCGTGGAGGGAGTTAAAAGTGAGGACGAGGATCTTGAACTCAATACTCTGGGAGATGGGGAGCCAGTGGAGCTAAGCGAGGGTGGGGATGATAGACTTGCAGAGAATAGTGAAGGAAAGGACACAAGCTGCAGTGTCAATTTTAAAGAAGCATGTTTTAACAATGTAATTATAACTATAGGAGGTTTCAATCTCCCAAAATAGACTGGAATAGGGAAAATGTTTGAATTGAGATCTTTTGCAATATATTCAGTGTTGTTTCCTCATTCAACATTTTAATGCTACAACAAGATAGGAAGCACTGGTTGACCTAATTATGGGAAATGAAGTTGAGGAAGTAGGTGACCTATAGTAAAGGGATATAGTATTTGGGAAACAGGCACCACAATATAAGTAGGTTAATGTAAGAATAAAAACAAAACCAATCCAGGACAAGGATATTTGACTGGAAAAAAGCAAATTGCAGTGAAATTAAAAAAAGGTTTTCCGGTTTAACTAGAAGGTAAAAATCAGCACAAAAAGAGTAAATCAACAGAACTGCCATAATTTTAGTGTTGGTTTAGTTTATCAAATGCTCAGCTGTCACTGCAGTGTTTAACACAACTATCTCCTCCAGCTGCAATGACTTCCAATAAATACAATCAATAGCTTAGCCCTTGGATCGGAGAATAGAAAATATTATTTTTAGAATATAGGATGAATAGAAAATTCATTTATCAGGATAGCAATCTCTTTATGAGACAAACTATCATTATTCTTTCAGACTTTAATGCTTTTTGTCCAAATTAGAATTATGTTGTAATATATCATAACAAAAATTATAGAGCAGAGTGTAAAAGAAAATAATACAAAATATACAAATGATGATTCACCACAGAATTTACCAGCTTCCAGAATGTAGCTTTGAAATATGACAGTCCAAAATTTGTTTAAAATATTCTTTCCTTCTCTACCAGGTAGAACTTTCTCTCAAATGCAGACTTGCTTTCTTCTCTCCAGCAGGTGAGCCTCCATTGTCAGCCAAGGAAATCATTAAATAATCTTCTTTATCTATCTTCTATCTATGCAAATAATCTTCTTCTATCTTTCTTCTACCTATCTTTTATTATACATATACGCTAATAAAACGACAATGTCTGTCTGCGCTTCAAGAAGGATCTCAATAATTGATTGACGTAGAGACATGATTTATACCTCATAGGAAAGGTTTTACAACTGGGAGTGACATGGGCAGATTTGTTTTCAGGTATCTCCTATTGTTCATGAGTTATTTTCAGTTTTTTTTACTGCAGTTACACCTGGTGGCCACACCGGCTGGCCATGACGCTGTGGTAATAATAATAATAATAATAATAATAATCCTTGCATTTGATATAGCGCTTTTCACGTCGGGAGGACGTCCCAAAGCGCTTCACAGAACACACTGTAAAGTGAATTGACTGTATATTTGTGGGCGAACGCGGCAGCCAATTGCGCACAGCAATGTCCCACAAACAGTCGTAGATTGAAAATGACCAATTTAATTATTGTTTTTAGTTTTGGAGGGATTATTATTAGGCGTGTGGAGTAAGGAAACTTGCCCAAGGTTTCGCCCTGCCTGGAATTGAACTCAGGTCTCTCACTTGCAAAGCGAGTGCTCTAACCACTGAGCTACAGGACTCCACAAAGTATCCTGCATCTCAGAGCACCCACGTAGCCAAGCAGCGGGAACAAAATAAAGAACGCAGACGAAGCTAAGCCACGGCAATGTGTGTCTGTCTGTGTGTCAATCTACATTCCATACTTGATCCGTTGCATTAGCTGCAACAGGTACAGCTTGTCACCTAGAAGAGCATCGAACATGTCTATGAACGAACTTGTAAATTGTGCATTTATTACTCTCTGTTAAGAGTCCATCACCAGGAACTCTTCAGGAGGTAAGCTGTTGGTGACTGTTTCAACTTCTGCAATAGCAACTTGCTAATATACAGTCTCCATATTAGAAACCATATATTAATCACTTTACTTGTCAATACGTGCTCTGATATACATATAGTCTCTGAGGTAGTAACAGAAGCCAAAATATCTTCTGAGATTGTGCCCAAGTTTTCTTCAGCGGAACCATTCATCCCTCAAGAATTGTTTTGGAATAATGATGATTTTCGATTCTTTGACATTGTTGGGGACACTGAACACCTTCAGCAACAACATTTTCACTGACATCCTGTATTACAACAGAGTTTGTGTCATCTAACATAAAGTGGAATGTTGGAATGTATGAAATAATTTGTTTCTTCTACCTCCACAAGAATATGGTATTAATTTGTTGAGATGTCACTTCCTGAGATTGGACTCTTGCTGCTGCAAGCTTTCTTACATCTTCATCCATGGGTCTATAATTTGCATCTGTCACTGCTAAACTATTCACAATAATTTTCAATTTGAGTATTGTTATAGATGATTATTAAACCATGCATAATCCAAGCACAGCTGAATCACATCTGGTTAAGTGAATTCACCAAAAAACATTAGCTGAATTTTGGGACATTTTCAACTCCATCCTGAAAGGGCTGAGCAGATTGGATTTAATCGGGCATATCTTTGTCAATGTTTGTTTTGTAGTTTTTAGAAATACTTCTATGTCATCACTTTTTATTATCATTTGAGATCACACTCGTATTAGCAACTAAATCACAAAGATGGCCTTGGGACAAAGCTGAGCCATCAATTGCACAATAAACTGCGACATGCTAAATTGAGGTTTGTATTCTCTATCATTCATCCTCTCTTCTAGTGCAAATTTCAATTTAAACAGTTCT